TAAGAGCCTGGGAGTGGTTCCCTCTCTCTCAGCCTTTCCGAGTGTTGTTGGGCAGGTGGACTGAGCCCTTTTGGTAGAGGCAGACCTGGTGGGCCCTGAGTGCCCCCTAGTGGTGGCCTATGTGTGTTCCCCCCACCCCCACCCCAGAGAGAAGGGCCGTAAGGAGAGGGAGACTCTGCAGCAGATGGCTGAGGTCACCCGCGAGGGGTTCCGCCTGAAGAAGATCCTCATTGAGGACTGGAAGACGGCCCGGGAGGAGAAGCAGGTGAGGGGCCCCCCACGGCTGCCCCCGGCATATCCAGGCCCCTTGGCCTGGAGGCATGGGCTGGCCAGGCAGGCAGAACTAGGTGGGGTTTACACCTGCTGCCTAGTGGTATCCTGGGGCGAGTTACTGCTTGTCTTTGCCGTGCTTCGCTCATTTGTCCATTGGGGGTTTAGTCGTCGGTCATTGGTTACGCGGGTCTCAAATGGGAGTAGTCAGTACAGGTGTTAAGAGCAGAGCCTTGGGCATCAGAGTGATCTGGGCTTGAAGGAGCTCTGCCACCTCCTAAGGATAGGAGGGATGCCTCTTGGCACCCTTCTCCCCTGTTTGTAAGGTGGGGCTGATGACTACATGGCTGCCCAGTTCTGGGGGAGGAGTCAACAAAGTGACATTAAGTTCAGTAGGGTGGGTACTTAAGGGAGAGCAGAAGAGGATGTGTCTCCAGGTGTGTGTTTCCATACCTTGCCTGCCACCCCCTTGTCTGTTTGATGGTTCAGAGTCCTCTGTTGCTCCTGGCCTTCTGTCTGACCCACTGAGCAAGAGCTCTAGCTCTGTTTCCCTCAGGGGAGATTCCAGATCTCTCTCTCCCACCCCAAAGTCACTCCTAAGTTCAAGGAGCAGTGGGGGAGCCATGTTGGGTGGCCAGCTCCAACTGACCTTACCCCACCTGGGGAGGTGGGAGGACCCTGGCAGGAAGCCAGGCAGAGGTATTAAGATCTTGGGAGGAACTCGATCCCATGGGGGCTGGCACTTGGCTGAGTGACCTGGCCTGGACTAAGACCCTGGCAGCTTGGGGACCCCATCCTTATGCTGTAGTCTGCCCATTGTACCCATTCTTTCTTTGTGAAAATATCCACAGAGGTCCAGATTGTGTCATGCACTGGGCGGGAGGCTGGAACCAGACCTGACCTGCCTCGAGCACATTGTCTAGTGGGAGGGACAGACAGAAAGGAACACCCAGTGCTGCTGGGAGAAGGGAAGTTCTGGAGTAAGAGGCATAGAGGAGGCTTTTGCCCTCCACTTCCTACCCCTCTTATCTTGGAGGTAGGTGGTAGAGAAGACTTCTGGAGAAGGACACTTTTCTAAGCTGAAATCTGTGGGGTACTTTGGAGTTAGCCAGGGGAAGTGTTCCAGGCAGAAGGAACAGAATATACAAAGAACTAGAGGCAGAAGAGCATTTGGGGGTCTTAATGTTGTTCAGGACAGTTAGAGCCTAGCCTGAGATGGGGATGGGGCACATAGGGCTGGAGAGGTGGGAAAGGCCTTGCAGGCTGCATTGAGGTGTTTGGGCTTCTCTCCAGAGGGCTATGGGAACCATAGCAAGGGGAGAGACCCAGTGAGGTCTGTGATTTGGAAAGCTCCTCCTGGCTGTCCTGTGGAATAGAGGCGTGGAGGTGATAAGGATGAGGAGGAGGCAGAACAGAAGGACAGCTGGGCTCTTGCCTTCTTCTCACCTAGAAAAAGCTCATTGAGCTGCAGGAGGGAAAGAAGTCCCTGGAGGACCAAGTGGAGATGCTGCGGACGGCAAAGGAGGAGGCTGAGAAGCCAGAGAAGGAGGCCAAAGAACAGCACCGGAAGCTGTGGGAAGGTACGTCATGGGGCGGCCAGAGTACTCGTGCTTCACTTCTGGACAGGAGGAGGCCTGGGCTTGGGAGATTCTTGCTTGTTATAAGTTGTTTGTTGTTCCAACTGCATTTTGATCGTGGTTCTTTATTTCCTTCTATGCCTAGTTAGCTTTGACTATTTGTTGATCATTGTGTTTGAAAATTAGTTGTAATAGTAATTTGTGGCCTCAAATCAGGGATCTTTCTCCGGAGAGGATTTGCTGTTCTTTTTGCCAGGTACCTGGGAACACTACCATTTGGGGGCCCCTCTTAATGCAAATCCAAGGCTTGAGATTCCTCAGACTTCTCAGGTTGTGTGTGATCTGAGATCTCTGCACTGGCTGGGTTATTTCTGGTCCAACCTAGCCCTGAGGGGACACCCCCTGGGCCCCAGCTAAGTTGTTGGGGGAGTCTCCTATTAATCTCCCACCTTGGATTTTGATTTCCATCTCCCTTGCCCTGTGAAGTCTTACCAAAACAGACCCCCAAAATTTCTAGGATTGGCAAATTTTCTTAGGGCAAAAGCAGCTTCCTGAGTTTCTGCTTTGCCCTGGCAGTTCTTACTGTCTTGTTAGATCCTGGTTGATTTTAAGGGGCTGACTTTTTTGTTGTTGATTTTGTTTTGTTGTTGGTTGTGACTCTGGAGACCCCACGTGTTACAGAGTAGAACCACTCCATAGGGTCTTCTTGGCTGTGATCTTTACGGAAGCGGATCTCCACTGTTTCTTCTGCGGTGCTGCTGAGTGGGCTCAAAAAGAGGCTGACTTTTTTATGCTTTGTGTAGCATTTCTTGGTGTTGGGAGGTTGTGCTGCCATTACTGGAAGTCTGAAGCCTTGGCCCGTGTTCTTAGTCTTTGGATGCTCAGTCTGCTTCCTGGGGGACACAACTCTGGAAGCAAGATAGAAAGGGGAGGCGGGGCAGAACCCCCCTCCAAACTAGTTAAAAGACAAGGCGTTGTTGGAAGGATTTGGAGACGTGTTAGGTACTCATAGTGGTGGTCACAAAGAGCTGGGTGGCCGTCAGGAACCGGGACCGCCCCCTCTCTGAGGCCACATGGTTGATCTTTCCCATCTCTCTGGGCATCTGTTGTGTTCTTCCTTCCCTCCCTCTGCCAACTGGCTCTCCCTGATTTCTGAAACCAGTAATTCATCCAACAAGCATTTGCTGAGCACCTGCTACGTGGCAGGACACACCAGGTGCCGGCAGTACAGCACTGACCGAGATGGACAAAGCCCTTACCTGCAAAGGAAGGAGCGAGCCAGACGGGGACAGGTGCAAAGGTCTGCTATTTCCTGTATGTTTGATCACAGCCTTTGTAGTGGGGTGGGAGGTGGGGGGGTGGGGTGGGGAACATTGGTGCACGTCTTCCTTTTAACGGCTGCGTAGTACTCCATTCTCTGCCTCTAGCAGGATCTGTTTAATCCAGTTACCATTTTCTCACCAGGTTGTTGGTGTTTTTCTTCACTGTTTGCGAGAGTCTGTGATACATTAAGGGGTTAGTCTTTGTGGTTTAATTTGCAAATGTCTTCTGCCATGTTACCGTTTGTCTCTGGTGCTAGGTTCTTGGTGCTTTTTTGTCAGGCCATTTTTTAGAAATTGAATTTACACATCTTTTCTTTGACTGCTCCTGTTGTCATTCTTCTGCGCTGTCGCAAGCATCCTTTTTCACACGTGTCTTGATGAACTGATGCCCGGTTTTCCATTGGACGCCTTGTTAGCGTGCAATTGCTGAGTCAGAGGGCAGGACATCACATCTTGACCCAGATTCCCAAAGGATGGCGGGGTGAGCGTGGGCTCTGGGGCATATGGCCTGGTGTGACCATGGACAAGTCCCTTCTCCCACCAACCCGCCTTAGTCCCCACATCTGTGAGAGGACAGTGGTCAGCTGGGTCTGCTGGGGCATTGTGGGATCTCACGGATGATCCATAGCTCTGCCAGGGCTCGGGGAACACTGGGGTCGTTATAGTACGTGGGCTGAGCCAAGACATAGTAAACAGTATGTGCTTAATAGTTGCAGCCTTCTCCACTCCCTGCTAGGTGGGGATGAGGGGGCAGAGGGAGACCATTGGAGCAGGGTGTCTCCAGTGAGTGTGGCCTGGCCCTGCACCCACTAACCTCTTCTGGGAGCTGTTGGGGCACTCAGTGGGCTGGCCCCTCCCTTCTGGGATACTGTCCCCCAGGTGCCTCCACAGTGACCCTTACCTGGTCTTCTCATGTGCCCCCCTGACCATCCTCACTGCTCCCTCCTCATCTGACTTCCTGGGGAGTGAGCCTGGGCCAGGTCCTTGGGCCTCTTCTCACCTAATCTCATCAGCCCGTGCAGATGACAGCCTGGCCTCATCAATGTGTCGCCCCCAGAGCTGCCTCCCCCACCGGCTCCACTCAAGGCTGCTCCATGTCCTTCTACTGTTCAAAAGCCTTGGGGACGTCCTTCCTCCCTCCGTCTCTCCCTCCGCCCTAATCTAACCCATCAGCACACCCCATCGGCACTGCCTTCAGAATCTACCCAGCATCTGGCCATTCCTTCTGCCTCTTCAGCCCCCACCCCAGGCCAGCCCCTGTCTGTGCCCTGCCCTGGTCTCCCGGTTCCCACCCTCACCGCCTAGTCGGTTCCCCACAGTGGCCTGACTCAGGGCCTGTCCCTCTGCTCGGAACTCTGTGGATCCTACTTCCTGGAAGCCTTCCTTGCTCACTCTGCTCCAGCCACAGCGGGCTCCCCGTTGGTCCTCCAGGGGCCTGTGCACACCTGCTCCTCCCCGCAGCGCTTTTCTGATCCCCATGTGGCTCCTCCCAGAAGCCCCTTCACCTGGCCCTCCTGACCTCGCACTCCAACCCCTGCTTCCTGCCTTGGTGGTCCCCTGGCCCTGCCCCCCTCTAGTTTCTTGCCTGTCCTCCCTTACTACCTCTAAATGGCAGGGATCTTTGTCCTTATCCATGCTGCGGAGGGCCTGGCACACAGTGGGTACTGGGGGTGAGTGGTCTTGTGGGATGTTGGGGTGCTGGGAGATGGCAGGCAGGGAGGCTGATGGGCTGGCCCCCTCCACAGAGCAGCAGGCTGCCTCCAAGGCCCAGCAGGAGAAGGAGCTGGTGGCCAGCACCTTCCAGGAGCTGGATGACGACATGGACGGGATGTGAGTGTGCCCACCTGCCACCCTGCCCTGAGCCTGGGTCCCGTCCTGCACCCCCACCTTTAGAAGTCAGCCAGAGCCCTCCCTGGCTCAGCCACCAGCTCCCCCTCCTCGCTGGGGCCCCTACTGGTCTCAGTGCCTCTGCCTCCCCCTCCTCTGCGTACTCACCTGAGGAGGTAAAGGAGATGCTTTACGTCTTCCCAGGATGCTGATGAGCTGAGCATGGATCCTCAGGCCCAGGACATGGTGGCAGGGTCCTCTTACTTTTCCCCAGGCTGCTCTGTGGCCTGAACACTTTGGTGGAAGCCAGACCTGGCTTTGAGTCCCAGCTGTGCCTCTGAACTGGCCCAGTGACCTCAGGCAAATGGCTCAGTTGGGTGTGCACTGACAGGGCCGAGAGAGGACATAGGGAACTCAGGACGAGGCTCATCAGCGAGGAGGTGTGGGGTGGGAGGGGCAGGAGGACCGAGGGGGCAGAATGGGCAGTGCGGGCCATTCCCTGGCTGGTGATGGGATGGGGGGAGCAGAATGTGGCACCTGGGTCCCTGGCCAGTGTGGTTAGTGGGGGCTTGGCTGGAGGAGGGCGTGGGGCAGAAGGTCAACTTCGATGTGTTGGGTTCTGAAGGCAGAAGGAAGTGGAACCTGGGTGGGACAGGATATGGGTCTAGGGGAATGAGGGGGCCTGGTATCTTGTAATCCCACCCCTTTCTTTGAGCCCCTTCAAGGTTGTGGAGTCAGGGGTGGGAGGCAGGGAACTGGGTGGCTAGGGACCTGGTCCTCCTGGGGGTGGCGGCCAGACAGAGTGGGGCCCTCAACCTCAGACCTCACTTTCTCCCTACTTCCTGTGCCCCTCCCCACCCCCACCTCAAGGTCCTGAAACAAGTCCTGGGGAGGGGGCCCTGGCGTGGAGGGTGGGCAGACCATGTGGTGCCGTGGCCTGCTGGGTACCTGGCTGGGAGCCAGTGGGGCCTCACCCCTTTCCCTGGCTGCATCCCCACCCCCGCAGGGTCTCGGTGGCTGAGCTGCAGACCCACCCGGAGCTGGACACGGATGGGGATGGGGCGCTATCAGAAGGGGAGGCCCAGGTACCCCCACCCTGCCACTTGGCCTGGACTTCTAGAGAGGGTTGCCTCCAGGGTGACTTCAGGGCATGGGTTGAGGGCAGGCTGGCCATGGGCCACTCACATGGAAAGCTCCCCGCTGGCCTCAGGCCAGGGGCTGCTGAGTTACCCAGCTGTGACCAACATGGCCTGGCCATGCCTGAGTGAGCCAGGATGGCAGCTGTCCAGGACAGCTTCTCCCAGGCCTGTGGGACCTGGGGGGTCATGGTGGGTGTCACAGGGTTAGAGCCAGATTCTCCAGGACTGCCCCCACCCCACATGCCCTCCACTTGGTTCCCCGAGTACGTGCACCCCCTTACCCTCCTTACAGAAGGGCCTGCCGCTCTCTCTCTTCCCCTCCCCACACCAGTCTGGACCCGGCTCCTCGGTTCCCCGTTGTGGCCGTTCGTCTCTGTCCATGCCTGCCCACTACTGGGTCTCTCCCTGTCCCATCTCAGCCTCTCCCTCAGAGGGCCTGGCACTCTCTGCTTCTTTTCCTCCCTCCCTCCCTCCCTTTCTGGCTCTCTATAAGTCTCTGTCTGTCTCTCTGGTGGTTGCCTCTGCAGCCCTCTTGTCCCCTTCTGTCCAATAGGCCTGTGCTGTCCCCTTCTGGCCACAGCACCCTCAGCCTGGCCTGGCGCAGGCCGAGTCAGGAGGGGTCAGGGCCCAGCCGGGCAGCCTGGGGCTGGGAGCTGGGCCTCTGCCCTGGGCCAGCCAGCACACCCGTGCCTGGCACCGCAGCCTGAGACCCCCCCATCGCATGGCGCCTGGAGCGGAAGGGAGGGGACATGGAGGCCCCGATCCTGACACTACCCTCATCAACACAGGCCCTTCTCGGGGGGGACTCACAGACGGACGCCAATGCCTTTTATGACCGTGTCTGGGCTGCCATCAGGGACAAGTACCGGTCCGAGGTCAGTGGGAGAGGGGCAGATGTGGTCCTGCCCCCGGTCCATTCTCATTGCCTCACAAAGGCACCACCTCCAGTCCTGGCACAGGGCCACTCTGGCCAGCTGGGCTACCCATGCACCCTCCGCGGAGGCCCTCCACCCCCAGTCGTCCCTCTCCCCCGTCCCTCCAGGCCCCTCAGGAGGGTGGAGACAGGCCTCCCCTTGGGCAATGGCATGAGCATGGACCTGAGACCCAGGGAGTTGGGGCAGGGGGTGGACTCCCAAGTCTGTGGCATCCACTCCTCCACTCCTGCCTGCCCACCAGGTGCTGCCCACTGACCAGCCAGCACCTACTACAGACCTGACGGAGCCCAAGGAGGAGCAGCCACCACCCGTGCCCTCACCGCCCTCGGAGGAGGATGAGGAAGAGGAAGAGGCCGAGGAGGAGGAGGAGGAGGAAGAGGAGGAAGAAGAGCCTGAGGCACAGGGAGAGCAGCCCAAGGTGTGTGGGGGGAATAGAGGCTGGTGGGGCCGGTGGGGAGGGGTTATTGCTGACTCTGCCCCTCCCCCAGGAGGCCCTGCCCCCACTGGTGCCCTCCCCGCCGTCCAGCCCCACCGAGGAGGACAAGATGCCGCCTTATGACGAGCAGACACAGGCCTTCATCGATGGTAAGGCCTGGGCCTGGAGGGGGTACTTCCTGCCACGGCACTGCTCTCCTGTTCCAGCGGCTGCCACTCTGCCACTGGGGAGAAGAACCTACCTCCTCCCGCTGGGGTCTAAGACACAGGCCCCACCTGTGCCTGCCCCAGGCCTGGGTGGCAGAGCAAGCCTGGTGGCTGAGGGAATCCTGGATGGGGTGTCTGGGGACTGTGGGAGGCCTGCCCCACCTAGCAGCCTGGGCACCCTCTTGCCTCCCCATGGGCTGCAGCTTGTTTGTGCCACCCGTGGTGGGCAAGGAGCCAGTCGGAGCCCTGGCCTCACTCCCTGCAGAACCCAGAGCCTCCTGCTGCCTGGGTGTCAGGGTGGGGTCTGCCAGAGCAGACCTGGGGAGGAGGCTGTGTATCTGTGACTCCCATCCCTGTGGCAGCACTTCTGACCTCCCCGTCCTCCCCCAGCTGCCCAGGAGGCCCGCAACAAGTTTGAGGAGGCTGAGCGGTCCTTGAAGGACATGGAAGAGTCCATCAGGTACTGGGGGCCCCGAGGCCCCGCCCCGCCCCCACCCCACAGCCATGCTGCCAGGCTCCCTAGAGGAGGTGGTAGTTGGGTGTCACCGAGGTAACAAGGAGGCAGGCAGCAGCTCCTGTGGGAGGGTCCCTGGGTGAGAGCCCAGGCTCCAGGACTGCACGCTGAGGCCCTGGGCCGTGCTCTGTTCCTGGCTGCCTCTCACACTGCCCCGGCCTGCCCTTCCAGGAACCTGGAGCAGGAGATTTCCTTTGACTTTGGCCCCAGCGGGGAGTTTGCCTACCTTTACAGCCAGTGCTACGAGCTCACTACCAACGAGTGCGTGTTGGGGCCTTGCCTGTGGGAGAAGCGGGGGTTGGGGCTGGGTTCTGGAGGTGGAGTGGGGGTCTAGGTGGAGCTGCTCTTCTCTAGGAGGGAAGGGGAGTAGGGCCAGGGGCTTGGCGTTGGAGTGGACTCTGAGGTGTCCGTGAGCCCCCTGCGTATGCGGTCATTGAGGCCAGTGTAGATCTGAGTTCAGGGAGAGGCTGGCGGTGAGGAGGTTGGCGTCCCCATGTCTTCCTGCTCACCAGCCCTGTCCTGTGACAGGTACATCTACCGGCTCTGCCCCTTCAAGCTTGTTTCGCAGAAACCCAAACACGGAGGCTCCCCCACCAACCTCGGGTGAGTGGGTGGGCCTGGGCTGGGCTCCATTCCCTCTGCCCCCACATCGCACTCAGCCAGCCCTCAGCATCTCCCTCTCTGCAGCACGTGGGGTGCCTGGGCCGGCCCCGACCATGACAAGTTCAGCGCCATGAAGTACGAGCAAGGCACAGGCTGCTGGCAGGGCCCCAATCGCTCCACTACTGTGAGTGCCTGATGGGTGGGGTGGGGGTGCCCAGGCCCTGCTGAGCCCACCTGAGCACCCACTCCCTGCCCTGCCCCAGGTGCGGCTCCTGTGTGGGAAGGAGACGGTGGTGACCAGCACGACGGAGCCTAGCCGCTGTGAGTACCTCATGGAGCTGATGACGCCGGCCGCCTGCCCGGAGCCGCCACCTGAGCCACCCACCGATGGCCAACACGATGAGCTCTAGCCAGCCCCAAACTGGAGCCGAGGTTGTGACAGGGGTCTCTCGGGCCTTGGCAGCTCCGCCTAGGAAGATGCTGGGCCTCAATGCTCCCTCCACCACCGTCCCCTCCATCTCCCTCCTGCCCATCTGGTCTTTCTCCTGCCCCAGAACCTCCAGGCATGACCCAGCCCCAGCGAGCTGCCCTCCAGCCCTCAGCGTGTGGATCCAGGCTGCTCCCCTGGCTGCCCTTCTCCATGGGGACAGGAACAGTGTGGGGCTCTGTGCCCAGCTCTTGGGAGGCTGAGCAGGGCTGAGCTGCACTTCGGGCCCTATGGAGCCTGCCTCCCTGTGTCCTCCCTGGTGGCTCACCTCTGCCCCCTGCCCGGGACATCTGCCTTCCCTCCTGTGGGGGAAGTGACTTGACCTGTGACCTGGAAACAATAAATGTGGACACCCCCAGTCCTTTGTGTCTGTGCCTTGCTTCACTCTCATGAGAAATGGGGCAGGGGTGGGATGCCTGTGGCCCACCTCCCCCATCAAGCCAGCACCACAGTTGGGGCCTCAAATGGACCTGGGTTCAAGTCCAGCTTTGCCACTTCCATCTCAGCTTCCGTTGGGGCCAGCCTCTTGCCCTCCCTGAGTCTGTGTTGTAGGGAGGCCAGTGGGCTGCCCCAGGGCTGAGCACGGGCTCCAGACGAGACCCAGGCCTGGAGAGGGACTGCGACCTGCTCAGACCACACAGCCAGCAACAATGGCACCTTGCCAACATGCAGCCCGTGCTCCAGCACACAAATACCCAAGGCTGTAAGATTCTGAACTTTTATTTTCTGGCATGAAAAGTACAAATAATTAAACAATTCCATGTAAAAGTCTGTTACCGTGGCCAGGCCTGTAATCCCGGTAATAAATAGTCTAAACGCAACGCAAAGTGTTCTTGTTGGGTTTTTCGTGTTTTTTTTTTGTCTTTTTACATTTTTTTAGATCACCTCCAACATGGACTCTGTCGTGATTTGAAACCTTCCAAATAAATAACAGGATGAAGGGAGGGCTGGAGGGGCTGAGCCCCCTCCCCACTGGCCCTGCCCCCGGCCCCCTTCCCAGGAGCCCTGGCCTGGCCTGCCGCTGGGGTGAGGGCCTGGCCTCCAGGGAGGGGGCCTGGCTGGGCTGAGTTGTGTTTTAGAAAAAGACGTCCCCTCCCAGTCTTGGGAGTGGTAGGGGCCTAGGCCTTGATGAGGGGTGGGAAGGTGCCCCCTCTCCAAAGCCTAGCCCCCCCAGGGTGGGGGACAAACCCAGCCCTTATTGCTCACAAACGCCTCGGGCACGCTTCCCACGTGAGCACACGTGTTGGCGCGGAGGGCGGAGGGGGAAAGCCCCAAGAAACAGCAGGGAGGCGGGGGGGCCCCTGGGGGTGCCTGCCCTGCTGGAGGGAGGAGGGTGGGAGGACTCAAAACCACAAGAATAAATAGGTTCGTGTATCAAGAACAAGCTAGGGTCTTCACCAGCTAAATAGGACTGAAAAAATTCTCAAGACAAGAGCAAAAATTATCCCATTGAGACCCGGACATCGCTGGCTGCGGGGACGGCCACAGGGCACGCACCCTGGGTGCCACTCAGCTACCTTTACTGTTATTAATAATTATTATTACTGTAATGATTCCACTTCCCCTTTTATAAATAAATTAGGCATAACCACGTCTTGGCAAAACTGAAAGAAAGAAAGAACATCATCGTTCCTTTAACTTGCAAACTGGATGAAGTAACAGAAATATACACAAATGTCCTTACAGGGCAACAAGGATAATAAATAGTTAACATAGCAATAAGTTAAAACTACAAGAAGCTAAATTCGGCAAAAAAGTACAGGAAAGTTAACTGGTGCCAGTTTATGTCTTTTTTTCTTTTTTTTCCTTTTTTTTTTAATCTCTGTTTTTTTT